ACTTAGGCTACTATGTTACATTGTCAATTAAATGTTATGTAGGCCTACAGTATACAGTGCTATCATCAAAATGAAGAGAAAGGAAATAGTTTTATGCTCATATGAGGAAGATGATCAAGACAACAGTATGATCAAGGTGGTCTTCTTTGTGACTAGCCTATACCCAAATGCTGGTAATTTTCTATGCACCTAGCGCCTCCCTGTGTTCAAAAGTTGTAACTATTCATACTGTCTCTGTCTCCTTTGTGAGGCTGCTCCATGCTCCCTGGGCTTTTTTTTTAACCCCCTTTTTCTCCCCAATTGCGATCTTGTCTCATCGCTCCCAACAGGTTCTGGAGAGGTGAAGGTCAAGTAATACGTCCTCTGAAACATGACCCGCCAAGCTGCGCTTCTTAATACCCGCTCGCTTAACCCAGAAGCCAGCCGCACCAATGTGTTGGAGGAAACACCGTTCAACTGACGACTGAGGTCAGCTTGCAGACGCCCGGCCCACCACAAGACCCACCACAAGACCCACCACAAGGAGTCGCTAGAGCATGATGAGCCAAGTAAAGCACCCCCGGCCAAACCATCCCCTAACCCAGACGACACTGGTACAATTGTGTGCCACCCTATGGGACTCCCGGTCACGGCCGATTGTGACACAGCCTGGGATCGAACCCCAGGCTGTAGTGACGCCGCAACACTGCGATGCAGTGCCTTAGACCGCTGCGCCACTCGGGAGGCCTCCCTGGCCTTTTCTCAATTTGTATTGCTCAACTCCTGCATCCTCCGTCGTCTCTCGCCTCCTTTTGAAAAAGGTCAAAGGTAATCGAGGCGGCGAGGAGAACTTGGACGAAAATGCACTTGTATGAAATGAGACTCTCCTTTTCCACTCATTTACAGGGGTGGATCCCAAATATAATGTGTAAAGTGATAAAAACTAATTAAGTTAGTTGTGCAAGACATTTTATAGATACAATGATAAGTAGAATATTGTTTTTTAAACTTGTGCATGCTTTTCTCCGCCAACAAAAAAAAAAGCTTCAAAGGGGGTGTGGCAGATTACATTTATTCTGCAAAGGACTCAGGTAGGATACACATGACTATCCTTGGTGAAAGGTGGCTGTCGAGGAGGGGAGGACACTCTTCCTTTCGCCTATTATTGAATTGACATCTCCTCCACCACTCAACCACTTATCGGTTTCCGGGTCACGGAGGAGAGTGGACGGAGGAGAGAGGGTGGAGGACGGACTTTTGCCCAAATGAGAAAACACCCATGTCAACGGGCTGCTCTCATGATGACATTATAGCCTATCCCCTATCTTCTATCTCTCAGGACTGAGATCATTGTGCAACCCTGTGCAGGCTGTCTGCAGATTAGAAACAGCATCTGTCACAGTTTCAATGTGATTCCAGGATGCTTTCTCTCCAAATGGAAACAAAGTAGGCTACATTTAGGATTAAGTTGTGTTCCAAATGCACTGACTGCATCTTACGCCACACAATGAGCCAATGTGTAGGCTGATCAAAATAAAAAATGATTTAAAAACTCTAAGCAACCTGAAGTGAATTTGCACTGTTTTAATAATAATTGCTCAGCTTTATAATATTATTTTATCAGTAAATGTTATGATCATAATCATATTTCAATGCACAACACACAAATTCTATTTCAAAGCACAAAAGGCTTCATTTATATTAATGAGCCTGGATTTGATTCCTTTGATCCATAATTGATGATCTGAAACCATATGAGACACAGTCCTCATCAGATAAGTGTCAGTGTAAGAATAATATAATAATAATAGTATGCCATTTTAGCAGACGCTTTTATCCAAAGCGACTTACAGTCATGTGTGCATACATTTTTACGTATGGGTGGTCCTGGGGATCGAACCCACTACCCTAGCGTTACAAGCGCCATGCTCTACCAATTGAGCTACAGAGGAAAAAAACATAATTTTTTCAGTTGCATTCTGTAAAATAGCATGACCTTAGTATCCAAGGGAGATGTAGGAAGGCAGGCTTGCAAAAAATGTTTTCAAGTGCAGAATGGTTTCTTTACAAGTGTAGGAGTGCAGTATGTCCATATGTACAGTGAATAAATTGCAAGAAGACAAAAACCTATATTTACATAGACTAAAAAGGAAATTGACTAACAAACAAGTTTTACCTGAATAAACTCTTCAAGATAATTAAGCAAAAATAAAAATGCCAAGCATATGCATAACGCCTCTAGCAGTTGAGCCCCTCTCTGTTCCACTGCCTGAATCTCTGTTCCACTGCCTGAAGCGGACTGCGTTAAATACACAAGGTAATTTGCCTGTTCCCTGGACAATACTATTTGGTCCAATAACAGGGGTACATTTCCTTCTCATAACAGGTGGTTTGTTTCACCAATTCGGTGGCTTTTGAGAAGTATAAAAAAAAAAAATGTATGCACTCACTAACTGTAAGTCGCTCTGGATAAGAGCGTCTGCTAAATGACTAAAATGTAAATGTAATGTAAAGTGTAAAAAAAAAATTTAACATTCTGTCATAAAGATCACATGTTCAACTTCATACAAAACACATTTTTGTCATCTCAAGAGATTAAATACAGAAAAATACTATAGTAAGTGCATATTAAGTGCCAAATAAAGTTACAGGGTTGACCAATACAGGGTTTTCTTCTTAAATCAGCCATAAATCTCCTTGTGACTTGGGGAATGGAAGCTTGTTGTGTGCAACATAGAGTGGCAATCGAATGCAAGCTTCACCAATTTTTTTTGCCTGTCTATCTTTGGGTAAGAGGGTTGACGTATTATGCTCGACCTGCTCAGTTGTTCAGCACAAAACTCTATGATTTGACTTTTAGATGTTCAATGTTTCTCAATGAATTTTTATTTGGATTTCATGTAATGGACATACACAAAATAGTCCAAATTAGTGAAGTGAAATGAAAAAAATTACGGAAAAGTAATGCGTGCATATGTATTCACCCCCTTTGCTATGAAGCCCCTAAATAAGATCTGGTGCAACCAATTACCTTCAGAAGTCACATAATTAGTTAAATAAAGTGCACCTGTGTGCAATCTAAGTGTCACATGATCTGTCACATGATCTCAGTATATATACACCTGTTCTGAAAGGCCCCAGAGTCTGCAACACCACTAAGCAAGGGGCACCACCAGGCAAGCGGCACCATGAAGACCAAGGAGCTATCCAAACAGGTCAGGGACAAAGTTGTGGAGAAGTACAGATCAGGGTTGGGTTATAAAAAAACGTTGAATATCCCACGGAGCACCATTAAAAAACCATTATAAAAAAATTGAAAGAATATGGCACCACAACAAATGGGCCGCCCACCAAAACTCACGGACCAGGCAAGGAGGGCATTAATCAGAGAGGCAACAAAGAGACCAAAGATAACCCTGAAGAAGCTGCAAAGCTCCACAGCGGAGATTGGAGTATCTGTCCATAGGACCACTTTAAGCCATAAACTCCACAGAGCTGGGCTTTACGGAAGAGTGGCCAGAAAAAAGCCATTGCTTAATGAAAAAAAATAAGCAAACACGTTTGGTGTTCGCCAAAAGGCATGTGGGAGACTCCCCAAATAAATGGAAGAATGTACTCTGGGCAGATGAGACTAAAATTTAGCTTTTTAGCCATCAAGGAAAATGCTATGTCTGCATAAGTAAAATGTAATTACTAGGTGTTACACAGGATTTAGATCGTTAAAATGAAGTGTCTCTTGAGGGGTACTTACTTGTAATTTGTGTGTTAATAATGTAGTACGTTACCCATCCTGACAACCTAGCTCCAATCTTAAAGCTTCTGGAAACACCATCCAAGTGAGAAAATAAGCACACTAGTACACCACAGAGTATATTCTTTTACATTTTAGTCATTTAGCAGACGCTCTTATCCAGAGCAACTTACAGTTAGTGAGTGCATACATTTTATTTATTTTTTTCATACTGGGAATCGAACCCACAACTCTGACCTACAACACTTTGTTTATTTCGCTGCAATCTTTCATGTCTGGATTTTGCACACTGACCTTCTCGATCCCATGCTTTGTTAAATGATGTCAGTGTCAACACATGTGGGCACGTTCTAGGTCGTCGTTATTTTGAGAATGTTATGCAGATAGGCAGATCTTGACATGATGCTTCCAAAAGTGAAACTATTTCTAAACAGTGAAACTCTAGGTTAAATTATGGAATAAGAGTTTGTCTTATGACCATTTTAAGTGCATTTATGAACCATTATTCAACCAATTTTAATATGCTTACAATTTGACAAGCACAAATTACCATCTCACAATTTTATTAAAGTGTCTAAAAAATGTTTAATTGATGCTTAAAGTAATTGACCCATTGTCAAATGCACCTTTAAATTATTTAACAATTTAAAGTAGTTTTTCATATGAACCATTTGTGAACCCGTTTTTGCCATTGGGCCTGTGAATCAGACTCCAGAGCCATTTATTGCAGAGTTGTGTCAATGAGGTGATCGGTTTTCAATTGGCTAGCACTTATCACCATGGCAGGCTGAAATATGGTTAATTGAGATGCTATCAGAAACCTTTAAATTTGTAACAAGCATGGTAACAAGCATTCCGTTGTTACACCCCTGTAATTACAGACTGCAATTACCACCAGTTACATGTTGTTATTACAGTGTAACTGAATTATTAAAATTAATTACAATACTTGTTACGGTGTAATTACATAATATGTATGTAATTACACTTTATATAAGGATCCCTTAAAATGAAGTGCTGCCGATAATTATTAGGCCTACTCCAGAATGATTCCTTTTTCAAGGATTCGAGCAAGTATTTAAAATTTAAGCTAGTAGGAGATACGGTACTGTCAAATAAATTGTACTAGAAATAAATTGTAGTAGACCACATTTTGTATTCTGCTCTATGGAGCCTTTACGATGCTGAGGACGAAAGTCGAGCGAAAAAAAATCTCCTTTGAAATGAACATCCGCTACCGCTCACGTGGAGAGCTGTGTTCACAAAGGCTCCTCCCACACCAGAAGTGTAACTCATTGGCTGTGTCTTGGTGAAGAACACATAAAAAGATATCAACCTTTTTGAGAAGGTATGCTACGACTGTGAACATGTTTTACAAGTCGAATTCAGTTTTGTTCGTCAGTTTAATGTTTATGCTTGGCGGGAAGCAGAGGTAAGTTGATACATTGTGTCAAATTAGGAATTGACTTTGAGAGACTACGCACGGCAACCTGTTTTCAATACACACTACTAAAGTAGCTAATGCAGTCGATATCATTTGTTGCTCTATTTACAGGCATACTAGTTGCGCCTATTGTTAAAGAACTTGCATAACACAATCGTAATTTGCATAACACAATCCACTCATTCATTTCTAAATATCTACAGCAAGATTATGCAAATCATTATCTGGTGATAGGTGTTACAAGCTAAACTGACTCACATAGGGGGAGGTTATCTTACAAAACACATGCTGTTGTATTTATGATAAAGTTGCCTGTGAAATTATGGTTTTATCCTGAATGATAGCTGTTCTTTGGATCATGTTTAGGCCACTGTGTCAAATGAGGCAATTCTGCTCATGAAGAGGCCTACACTGGTCTTTGACACATCACAATATATTTTTTTGCTGATCTGCATATGATTGACCAATACTAGGTCAGTCTGGAGTCTGTACTACTCCATGTCCCTTTAGTAGTGCCATTCACTTTAGGGACAATATCTCAACAGACTGACCCAAACAATTGACAAATTACCCTAATCATTGGTAGGCATACAAAGAGCCCTTTTATATGAAAAGCCCAAAGTCTTCATACCTTATCTGTAGTTTTTGACTCAAAATGCACACCACATGCCTCTCACGTGTAATGATCATGAGTCGCAATGACATGGCGAAATTCCATACAATTAGCCTGGCACAGTCCATATTGACTGCTTTGATGTACGTGTCTGTGTGCGTGCATAGAATACCACCCGTGAACTCCCGCTCTGGATCATTTCAGTTGTGTGAAAGAGGTCATAATATCACCTATTCTCTCTCTTTGTTCCCCTTGCTGACCAACTGTAGTTGGTGTCAGACAAACAAAATGTTGTCAGCCCAGGCGGATAGAGTGATGGCCCTGGGAGAGTGGGAGGAACGATGGCGGGAAGAGCGAACAGGCTGGCACCGACCCCACGTAAACAAGTAAGGATCTCTTTTACTTACCTTAAAATGACATGGATTAAAGAGTGAATTTATGGTTATATTAAATAGATGTTTGTTTAACATGTCTCTGCCAGCATGTTATTCCTAGGCCCATAAGGTAAACTTCATATGACGAATTTGATTATATTTATAGAATGCTGGAGACTAATATTGAGAAAGTTCTCGATGGACGGAATGGAGTTAAGTTCTTCTTCCCTCTATGTGGGAAAGCTCTGGACATGAAATGGTAAGTGATGTGCATTACAAACAAACTTGTGTGCTCAATTCATGTACATTAACTAGTGAAAGTCACAGTTAATTAATTAACATTAGGGATGCACCGATATTACATTTTTGGCCGATACCGATATCCGATATGTTCCTTGCCAAAAGACCCGATACTGATAACCGATATTTAAAATTGTAGCTGCCTTTTAAGCATTCTAGTAAAGTTAAATAGTTGAAACAGTGTCATATGTTCCTTTGTTCAGTTAGGAACAGATTGTCATTTTTCTCATTTACAAGTTATTAAACAATGTCATAAACTGCTATAAATGGCACAACTTAAACTTTTCAAATGTGCTCAACTGACTTGACTAGTAAAATGCGAGCAAATTTACAACACAGCATCTCATCTTTCATTTAGGAAATGTAAAAAAGGAAAAAAAAAGAACAAAATTGCTTTGTTTTAAATTAAATGAATATCATGAATAAACAACAGAAAAGCCATTGGGCTTAGTCAATTTTTTCCAGTGACTCTATATGGCTGGGTTACAATATGACTGCCCATTTACAATTTTAACATTTGGGAGAGGTTAGTTAATTTAATACAACATATTGCATTATTCTTGCATTCCAAAGGATCATTAGGCATAAATCAACATTGGCAAAAGTTGGCAGAAGAAGTAACAGAAAATGAAAATACATCACGTCTCTCTCACAGAGAAACACACACACACAAACAAACACACTATTACCAGTATGTCCCCATTACCAGTAAAACATAATTAAACCTATTTATTTCACTTACTTGCTGTGCTGTTTCGTTGTTCAGTCGTTCCATTCTCAACCAGGATTTCATCATACATGTCAAGCAGTGAAGTTTCAGCTCTGTCTGTCTGTGGCCTCTTCTGTCGTGGGTCCTCTTCCTCGGTACGCACTGTCACTGTGTCCGTTTCCATCTTGTCCCGCTGTGTCTGTAACATTTAACGTAAACCCTGTTTCTTGTCTGCATCAAAGTAGCGGTCCTTGTACCTAGCATCGAGCATGGTGGCGACACAGTAAAAAGGCTCTGAGAGAATGCCACCGAATCGCTTGTTCACAGCCTCTAGTAGAGTACTTTTGCAAGTTTTAACCCCACGGTTTGTGTCGGCAGTTTTGTTGAGCAGGCGTTTCAATGCCATGACAGAGGGTATCACCTCTGCTGCAGATGCAGTTGATGAGCTCATTTCTCGAGTCAGTTGTTCGAATGGAGCTAGGAGTAAGTCCCCTGTAGCTCAGTTGGTAGAGCATGGCGCTTGCAACGCCAGGGTGGTGGGTTCGTTTCCCACGGGGGGCCAGTATGAAAATGTATGCACTCACTAACTGTAAGTCGCTCTGGATAAGAGCGTCTGCTAAATGACTAAAATGTAAATGAGTGTGTTCATGTTTTCAATGAGAGTCCACTGGTTTGTACTGATTGTTGCAGGTAACTCATAGTCGGCTGCATACACGCCAAGCACTCGTTTTTGTTCCAGCAGCCTCTCCATGTAAAAAGTACTGTTCCATCTGGTGGAAACGTCTTGCTTAAGCCTTTTCATTTTCACTCCAAGCTGCTCCTGGATTGCTTGCAGGCGGCTGTATGCTAGCTGTGAGTGTTTAAAATGACCCGCTATCTTCCTACCTGTTGCCACTGTGTCAGATATGCTGTGTTGGGCCAAAACACCTTTGTTCACAGCCAGTTGCAGCGTCTACTTGGTAGTGTGTACCGGTGGTCGAGGTGCTCGACCAGTCGGCGAAAGCCAACATCTTCCACAACAGAGAACGGTTGATTGTCAAGGGCAATGAATTCCATTACCTTGGCGTTAATGGATTTCACCTTTGAGTTGTCTGGCTGAAATTTTCTTACTCTTTCAAATGACTGCTCGACTTGAACTTGTTTAGTTGTTGGAAATGTGCACTTAGTTTTTTTTCTGCTTTTGTGCTAAGTAGTCGCTGAACATTTTGTGGGTGATGCACTTTCAAATGAGTAATTAGGTTTGTGGTATTGAAATATTTCACTTTCTCCCCTCCTTGGGAAATAATAGCAGCACAAACGTTGCATATGGACTTTTTGTTATCTTCCTTTGAAACTTCAGAATAGATCCACAGCAGACATTGTGGGCTAGGTTAGGAATGCTGTGTAGCGCTGTATTTTTTGTGGCGTCATCTACCTACGTTATACAGGTATGCACGTCAGCTTTGACATCGGTTTTGCACATCGGCGTTAAACTATACATAGAGCCGATGTTGGCATTTTTAGTTAATATCTTCCGATATGCTTACCGATGTATCGTGCATCCCTAATTAACATCCATAAATTACCTTTGACCTTACTGTCTTTTACCATGTGTTCGATTCCAGGCTGGCTGATATGGGCCATTCTGTTGTAGGGGTGGAGATTGCAGAGAAGGCCATCAAGCAGTTCTTTGAGGAGAATAACATGACTTACAGTGAAGAGACAGTTTCTGCATTACCTGGAGCTAAGGTTTACAAGGTACTGTGTATCAGAGAGCTGCTAGGTTGGCTGCTATGATGCTACATGGAGAAATATGCGGAAGACAAGATGTTACAAGGTGTTGGAGGATTTCTTTCAGCAGCGGTGGCAGTGTGGTGGGGGGGGGGAGAGATGAGGTCTGGATGGGGTCTTCCTGGGGCATAGATCTATGCATAAAAACAAAACAAAATTGCAGTGGCGGCATCAAGGGGAACAAAGAATTATTACCCTAGAGGTCCAAAGTCTTGGATTTTATTTATACCAGCTACTAATCCAGGTTGGCTAATGATTGGTGTTTGTGGAATGAGTTTATATAATTATTTTAAGACTGTGCTACCAATATGTGCAGTTATGATCCAATAGAGAAAGAGCTAAAAGAGTTAACGTTGCAGTGCGGTTAACTTGTGTGATTCATATGCTTTTCTTCCACAGAGCTCAGAGAGAAATATCTCCTTGTACCATTGTGATCTATTCAATTTCTCCAGGTAAGAGTCTAAACTATCAATACATTTTCTCCTCTGACTGGGTCAGAAGGAGGAGGCCATTTACAGTATGACATCCTCTCACTTTGTATAACAGTGCCATCGAGGGTCAGTTTGGAGGGATTTGGGACAGAGGCTCCTTGGTGGCCATCAACCCACGGGACAGACAAAAGTAAGACCACATGAACTTCACTTTCCTCTGAAGGTCAACATGAGAACAGAGCATGACATGATGGAAGAGTCTTTGGCTAATGGCAAACTCTGTCTCTTCTGTATGTAACAGGTATGCTGCTCTGATCAGATCATTAATGGACAAGGACTGCCGATACCTCTTGGACACTTTGCTCTACAACCCAGAAGTATACAAAGGTAACAACTTTTCCCGAGCTAGCATTGTAGCTAATGATGATATGCTATTTCTATTAGATAGCAGAGTACTTGCATGTCACTTTAAGTACATCAGAGTTCAAATGAATCCCTCTTTTTCTTTAGGTCCTCCATTTTTTGTGCCCGATGAGCAAGTGCAAAGTCTATTTGGTGAGTTATTTTCTGCCGGAGATTGTCTCTGTGATTGTAGTTCTGTCAGTATTGGATTTTTCAGATTAAACTACATAGAAATAAATGTGATACGTACATGTTTGGGGAGGATTTAGAGATTAGTTTCGATGTGTGATTGTGTTTTTAATTCCAGGGAAGAGCTGTGATATAGAGTTGCTGCAGTCCGTGGATGCCCTCACAGACAGAGAGAAGGCTTGGGGCATGGACTTCTTCACAGAGAAAGTGCATCTCATCACTCTAAAGACCAACTGAGGAACATTTCATCAACCAACTCTTATTTAGGTTTCAAATATTGACATATTGAAAATACTCTCAATTTTTACATTTACATTTAAGTCATTTAGCAGACGCTCTTATCCAGAGCGACTTACAAATTGATGGCTTGTGTTCAGCTTTTTAGTGGCACGATGTAACTTGAATTGGGTGATTAATTTTTACTCATGCTGGAATTAAGAAATACATTACATTTTTTAATGACTGAAATTTCAATAAATACTTTTAAACTATAAATAAAACCCATGTTCTTTACTCATTAGTAAACACAGTATTGTAAAAGTCAGACATTTCCAGACTTGTAACGTAACTGATCCAGGATTTAGTTTTTGTTTAGGGAAAAATAATTGTATAAACGGTTTATAAATCTGTTTACCTGAATGGATTAGTAGTAGATACAATATGCTGTAATAAAGAGTGAGTAGCCATTTTGTATTGCCCCTATATGGGATCAGTAGTAAATGAATAATTTGAAATACAATTTAAATAACTGCTGAGACAGCTGGTTCAGCCGATTTCCCTCTGGCAAAATCATGTTTGACTACAGGCGTAGAGGCACATTATATATGTTGGCTACATATACTTCTCTGTTCTTGAATTCGTCATGCATACAGCTACTTCTGACTTATGTCAATGGTACTATCATCCAGCTTCACACATGCAATATTTAATTTGTCACTATGAATGAAGAAATTATATTTTATGGGTTAATGGCCTCTGGATTACTTGTTCTTTGCTTATAGCTGCCTGTATGTGTTTGGCTGGATAGTGCAACCTATCAGCAGTAAAGTTTCAGTTCGGCAGTGTGATTGGGTCTGGCATTCCACCCATTTCCTCTGTTGTTATTCTCTTGCTGTCTGAGCGTGTGGAAGGTATTACGGAATGGAAGCTCAGGCTGATAGAGTGAGGACTCTGGGAGAATGGGAGCAAGGTTGGAAAGAGGGAGAGATTGGCTTTCACCAGTACTGCGTGCACAAGTAAATACCTTATTGTCTACTGAATCTCTTCTGTAGTTCTCAAAGAATGACAGACTGTGACTTTAAAAGATGTCTGTCATCTGAATAGGCCTATTGTGTGAAATGACCGAGATGCCGTTCACTGCCTTTTTCAGTGGTACAACATTGCTCCTTTTTCTTATGTAATAGGATGTTGGAGAGCTATATTGACAAGGTTCTCTGTGGACGGAAGAGAATCCGTTTTTTCTTCCCTCTATGTGGGAAAGCTGTTGATATGAAATGGTAGGTTGTGGAAATTTAAAAAACAACATGATATTACATTTCTATAACCATAGACATTTTTTGTTTTGTATTTTAATTTGGCAAGAACTTGTACATACCTGAATGATCTTTTCCTACCTGTTGATACACAGGCTTGCAGATATGGGACACTCAGTTGTTGGTGTGGATATAGCTGAGATGGGTATCAGGCAGTTCTTTGAAGATCAGAAGTTGATCTACAGTGAAGAAGTGGTCCCAGCAATACCTGGTGCCAAGGTTTACAAGGTATGAAGAAGACCATGCACTTCAGTTAGCATCCTGATGGGCAATCTCTTGCGTGTCCATCCTTCCATGTAATCCTTTTGTGGATCATATTGATTATGCTTTCACTGAAAATGTGGCTTTCTTGCACAGAGTTCAGATGGAAATATATCCTTGTACCAGTGTGACCTATACAAATTCTCCAGGTAAAGATAATTTGAACAGTAACCCATTTCCCCACATTTCTTATGTTAAAGGGTTACATTAAAGTTTTCTAAAACTATGAATGTTTGTTTTTTAAGTGCCATTGAGGGTCAGTTTGGAGGGATTTGGGACAGAGGCTCCTTGGTGGCCATCAACCCACGGGACAGAGAAAAGTAAGACCACATGAAATGGACTTCTCTGATATTCAACAAGAAAGCACAGATTGTTTTGACACAAATTCTGTCTGTTGTTTACTGTATGTAACAGGTATGCAGCACTGATCATGTCGTTAATGGACAAGGACTGCCAATACCTCTTGGACACTTTTTTATACAATCCTGAATTGTTCAAAGGTAAGATATTCCCTGAAATAACAACCCATTTGTTCTAGATGCATGTGAGTAACATATTGTTTCAAACATACAGTAGAGTATGCATGTAGGTTATTAACCTTCCATTGTCATTCTTTAACACCTCTCTATAGGTCCTCCATTTAATGTGCCTGATGTGGAGGTAAACAGACTTTTCGGTGAGTTTTATTAATACAATTACGTTTGTCATTGATAATACCTTTATTGCTAGTACTGCCTTTTTTATACCTGTCATTGAACTGAATTTGATATTTAACACAAAAACCAATTGAATGAAATATAAGAAGATATTGTATGAGAGAATTGTGGTAAGGTAGTTTTATGATATTCATTTTCTTTTGTATGTATTCCAGGGAGGAGTTGTGATATTGAGTTTATACAATCTTCGGATGCTCTCCCAGACGTGAAGGATAAGGAATGGGGCTTGGACGTCTTCATAGAGAGAGTTCATCTCCTCACCCCAAAGGCCTCATAAACATGATTTCATGGGCTTCTCTGAGACTACAGGGAGAGATATCTGAGAGAAATAGTGCATTGAAAATGATTGTCAGGATATTTGGTGTTCTGTGAAGGTTAGATATTGTTATTAGCGTTGTTGACAGCTTGGAAATGACCTACCTAATGTCAAAATATGCAAAGTCAATTCTTTCATATGGGAAATTAACTGAATTTGCAGTGTTTTTGAAATGTCTGACATAAAAAAAAATATATATATATACCAATGTGCCTTTGCTTTTTATTATTTGTACAATAGATATTTTGTCCTATTGAAAATGTTTCTCTACAATGAAAGCAAGGAACTTGCATTAGATACTCCATAGCAATTGTTATAATGATTCTGACCTGTCATGAAATGCATTGGCTCCTCATTGTAAACTACGGCATTGTATTCTGCACTTTTCTTTTTTCACGTGCTGTCACGTTCTGCTCCCCACTAGACCCGATTTGCTGTTGCCTAGATACTAGGGGTGCGTTCGTAAATTCACTCTGGCTGTATACTCGGATTTCAGAGCACTCTCGTTTGAGTGTAACAGAGCGCAGAATAACTGATGAATTTATGAACACTCAACACCCGTTGAATATGGCCGGTGGCATTAAACGTCTGCAAAAAAGCGTAATTAAATTGTTGCCAGCAGCACAGTTACAGTCAACGCTCAGCGCAGTCAACGCTCAGGACAACATGGAAACAGCCTAACCAGCACTGCTAGGGAGAGAAAATGGTCAGAGTGAGGTGTTCTCTCATTTGTGTCTGGAAGTAGCTAGCCAACGTTAGCCAGTTAGCTTGGGTGCTTGACTGCCGTTGTGACCTTCTGGCTTTGCATAACTCCTCGGCCAGAGCGTCCAGGTGTGCGCTCTGAACGCTCCGAATTTACTAACTGACAATCTGACAACGATATTAATTTACGAACGCCCAGAACGCACCCTGAGCGCATTCTGGCACTCCAGGTTTATTTTGAATTTACCAACAAAGGTATCAGACAGCTATAGCAGTTAGCAAATGTTGCAATATTTTCTGGAGTGAATTTTGTGCAAATGTTTTTGCACTATTATTTGGGGGTGTATATACATGTATTTTATTATTATCTAATTAACCTATCAATGAGTACGGCAGGTCAGTCACAATGCAGCCATTTTGGCTCTGCAGGGCAAGGAGGGGAAGGGACAAGGGTGAAGGGAATAGATTTGGTTGTTAAGAAGATGCTTAGATCCAATGCGATTGGCAGTTAAAGCGTATATTCAGAATAATCTATGTACGTAGATTATACACAACATCTAATACATCCAGAAATTGTGTGTAGCGGCCAAACCTCCATGCACAAAACATTTCACCTACTGCGGTATCACTTTAAGTGCTTTGTTTATACAGGAGACATGTCATTGACCTACAAAGAGGCAGTTCTATGAGGTTAGTACCAAACACCACAGAGTGGTGATTTGACCTTTGAGACTGTATATTCCAGAGGAGGTACTGCTTTGACAGGCAGTACTGTTTAACCAGAGGTGGTGGTATAGTGTATCAGGGTTATTATAGGGTAACTTAGCACCCTGTATATCTGCATCTAGTACCAGAATAGCTCTTATGACCTTAGTAAATGTATTTTGAAAACAAGGAATGATGATGTGACACAGACCCAGACTGTGTTTTACTAGCACCTTGAATTAAGCTGGCTGGCTGATGTTTGAATGTTAAATAACGAGGCATAGGCATTGATGCGAGTAACCAGTCTTGTCCAGTATATTGCAATACATCCGGGTATCTCAAGTACACCGGTAAAACACTGGAGTTGCAGTAATGAACATTTACCAACAGATGGCATCAATGTGCCATCTTCCACCCATAATATCTTCCCTTTTATAAAATAGGACAGGAGCTGTCAATTCACTAACAAAATAAACCTAGTAGTAATTTCCAACATGAACAGTTAAGTATTTAAAAAAAATATATATATTTTTTATTTTTTTATTAACCACTTAACACATTTTGATACTCTCTTCACTTTTATCTCTGTCTGTCAACAATCCCTAATGGGAAACCTACAGATTAAGTCTTTTTGGTGGCTGGGACAGACGCCCGCAGCGTGAAAAGACAGGGGGCTTGTCTGCGTGGACTGCGGGCTCCCGCACAGGCGTGTCACCTGACTGTCTAAGGGGAGTATTGATGGGCGAGGGAGTGGCCGACCTGTGATCCCCTGGCTCTTCGCCCAGTGCCTCAGGCCCCATGTGACTTGCTGGGGTTCCGTCTTTTGTCATGCGACCCCTATGACCATCCGAGTTCTGAGTAGATGCTGGCTCAGCAATCCGAAGGTCAACCCTGTTACGACGGTACAGTGATCCATTCACTTCGACCAAGTAGGAGCGTGGTGCCACTTTCTGTACACAGGATCCGAGTCTCCAGAGGCCCGTCCGGTCCCCTGGTAGTGGCTTCATTCGCACCGTTTCACCCACCCTGAGCTCAGGTAAGTCTTTTGCTGATTTGTCGTAGATGAACTTGGAGACCTGTCTTCTGTGACGTAGCTTCACCAGCACGTCTGTCACCACACATGGCTCCAGGAGAGTGCTTGCTACTGGCAGAGCTGCTTTTAAACGCCGTGCCATGAGGCGCTGGGCCGGGCTGCTATCCATGCCTTCTGTCGGGGTATTGCACCATTGCAGGATTGCTTTCCAGGCATCTTTGCCCTCTCGCAGAGCTTTTTTGCAGAGGTTCTTTGCAATTTTGACTGCCGACTCAGCCTTCCCATTAGCTTTTGGGTGTCGTGGTGATGAAGTGACGTGCTCGAATTCCCATTCTGCAGCAAATTTTCGGAACTCACATCCGGAGAATTGGGGTCCATTATCTGAAATTACCCTATCTGGCTGGCCATAGCGGGCAAACTGAGCCTTGCAGCGTTTGATCGTTGTCTCTGCTGAGAGGTCGGGAGGAGGTCAATCTCCCAGAAGTCTGAGTAATGATCAACTACCAGCAGAAAGTCTTTGCCACTGTGCTGGAAGAGATCTAGACTTACTATCTGCCAGGGGCGCATTGGTAGCTCGTGGGACATCATCGTCTCTCTCTGTTGCTCAATGGCATATTCATTGCAGATTGTGCATTTACTGACATAGTCTTTGATTTCACTCTGCATTCCTGGCCAATACAGTGTGTCACGTGCTTGTCTGTAACAGGCCTCACCTCCTATGTGACTTGAGTGCACGCGCGCCAACATCTCAGGGCGCAGAGACTGGGGAATAATGACTCTCTGACCCTTGAATATTACTCCGTTTTGAACACTGAGCTCTTCTTTGACTGGCCAATATTCTCTGGTGGCTAAAGCAGTTTCTTCCTTGCAGTCGGGCCAGCCCATCAGAATCACAGACCTCAATGCCTGGAGTTGCTCGTCCCTGTCTGTGTGCTGTCTGATTTGTATAAGGCGCTAGTCCGTAACATTGAGGTAGTCAGCCTGGTTGATGTGTTCAACATCCACTTGCTCTGTTTGTAAGCTGCACACTGCGTGTTGTTCATGCATGGAGCGTGTGTGAGTGCCTGATGCAGTAGCCCTGCTGAGCGTGTCACTCACATACATCTCTGGCCCTGGCTTATACACCACCTTGAGGTTGTAGTTTTGTAGGGCCAGTAGCATGCTCTGCAGTCGTTTCGGGGCATTCAGGAGAGGCTTGCTGAATATAGCAATAAGGGGCTTGTGATCTGTCTCTGCGGTAATATTGTCACGCCCGTACAGGTAGTGGTGGAAGCGTTGGCATGCAAATACAATGCTGAGGCACTCCTTCTCTATCTGGGCATAGTTCTGCTCTGTTGGAGTGAGTGCCCTAGAGGCGAATGCCACAGGCTGGCCCTCTTGCATGAGGCAACAGCCCAGTCCATACTGGCTTGAGTCACTCTGAATCGTGACAGGTTTTGACACATCGTAGTATCGCAGTACAGGTGTCTGGGTGACCAGTTGTTTTATTTCCCTCACCGCTGTGCCATGTTTTGGGAGCCAATGCCAGATGGTGTCCTTGTCCATGAGCCTCCTTAGTGGTTCACACACTTCAGAGAGCCGCGGTAGGAACTTGGCCAGGTAGGTGACGAATCCGACGAAGCGCTGCACTGCCTTCACGTCAGATGGGTGGGGCATATCCAAGACAGCCTTCACTTTTTCTGGATCCGCCTTCAATCCGGTGGAGGACAAGATGTGCCCATGAAAGCGAACCTCTGGCACTTTAAACTGAAGCTTTTTTATGCTTAGCCTTAGCTTGACCTGTCTGCATCTGACCATCAGGGCCAGCAGCTTGGCGTCATGGTCACATTCTGCCTCCTCATCACTGTCCCCACAGCCCACTACGAGGATGTCATCTGCTATGGGTTCCACGCCGCTGAGTGCCATCAACAGCTCGTGCTGTTTCCGCTGATACACCTCTGGAGCCACGGAGACACCAAACGGGAGCTTCAACCACCTCTTCCTGCCCCAGGGTGTCCAAAAGGTGGTCATGTAGCTGCTGGGCTCATCAAGCTTGCACTGCAGGAAGGCATCTCTGGCGTCCACGAGCGTGAAGACTCTGGCCTTTGGGAGCTTGTAAAGAACATCCTCCAACGTGGGCATAATGTAATGTGAACGTCTCAGAGCCCGGTTGAGGTGTTTAGGATCTATGCATATCCGTAGCTTGTCTGGTTTCTTGACGATAACCATATTACTTATCCAGTCTGTAGGCTCGGTGACGGATATGATGTGGCCATCTGCTTCGTATTTGTCAAGCTGAGCCTTTGTAGCTGCTTTCATGGCCACTGGTACATTGCGAGGTGCACACTGGACAGGCTGGATTGCTGCATCCAACTCAAAGTGGACTTCGCCGGGAACTGACTCGACCGGTGCGTTGAAGACATCATGGTACTTGCTTAGGAGAGTCTCCTTGCTCAGGGGCCCAGCCTGGACTTTGTCTATAATGTTAAGATCAGCTGGGATGGTGAAGTTAATAAGCCCAAGGCGCTCGCATGTAGAACCT